TTTCTTCTTTCTAGGTCAGGGTCCTTTCCAGTACATCACAAAGACTCTTGTTTATTAATATGTTAATTAACCAATCAATAAACAAGCATTTGTTAAGCAACAATCATGTGATGCAAAAGCAAAAGCTAAATAGTTCCTGGCCTCAAGGAAGCTATATTTTAAAGGGGGGATACAACACGTAAAATGTACTTGTGGGCAGTGTCAATATTTGCCCATTTATTTCCATAATGAAGTACAAAGGTTTTGTAGTCCTTTCCTCATGTGCCCACAGCTGCTTATTCTGAACATCTGGTACAATGGAACTATAAACAAAATACATAGAACATCATGCCAGGCACACTTAATCCCTTTTTTGAATGAATTAACAAAATTAGGGAGTAAGAGGGAATTTGGTAGGCCTAATATAACCAACGTTTAATACTATAGCCAATATATTACAACCCCAAAATCTCACTTGAAAAGATTTATTTGTGTATAAGCCATTGCAAAAACAGAAAAATAGTCATTAAAAAAAACCCAGCAATGATAATTGGCTATCTATGAAGTTGGGGAAAGGTATCCAGTAGGATCTCTATAATATCATAATAGAACCAGGATTACTTAATATGTTTATTCATCTTCTAGTAGAGAGTAGGAGAAGGTTATATAATAGCCTTCATTAGTATGACAAATGTATTAGGTTGCAAGCTATTATAAAACCCATTGTTATTGTTTGTACTTCATTCTCAAAGAGGCCTATGACATTCAGGAAGGTCATGCCATGACATGAATGTGAATTGGATTTAAGTGAGGAAGGGCTATGCAAAGTCACCAACCTCAGTTTCTCCTCTGGAGCCATCTGGGTCTGGTAGCAAGATATAAATTAGGACAACTGGAGATGTCCCCTGTAAAACCCATTAAGCATAGAGGAAATGATATATCATAGGAAAGATATGACCAAAATATGGCAAGAAATGGTAAAATGAGACTCAACTTGGATCATCTTAGATTCAGAAATTGAGCCAAAGTCTGGCCTGAAGGGACGAGAGAGAAAAAAAAGCAAGTAACAAAAATCGTAGTGTTCAAGCAGCTAGGTGGCACAGTGAATAGAGCACCAGCCCTGGATTCAGGAGGACCTGAGTTCAAATCCAGCCTCAGACACATAACACTTACTAGCTGTGTGACCCTGGGCAAGTCACTTAACCCCATTGCCTAGCCAAAAAAAAAAAATCATAGTGTTCTTACAGCCTACATAGGCTACTACCAGTTCTTCCAAGTTTTAAAAGTTAATTATTATATCACATTTTATCCCAGGATATGTATACAGTACAGAAATAGGACAGGAACAGGGAAATAGATTGGACTCGAGATTTCACTGGTGTAAGGAACTCCTGGGTAAGGAAATTCCCTCTGTAATTGTCCAGCCTTAGAGCACTGAATGGCTAAGTGATTTGCCCACAGTTCACAGAAAGTTTCTGCTTCAGGCAGGATATCTCAAAAATTTATATTCTATGGCTAGCTCTCTATCTGCTGTGCCATACAGAGCATATGCAGAGGAGAAAGGAACAAGAAAAAAATAGAGTGGGCCTATAATGATAAAATTTCATTTTATATATGACATGAAATAGGCAGTTACCTTCCTAAAAATAGTTGTAGGACTAGTATTTACCAGTGAGGTAAATTCACTGCCCACTACAAACTGAGGATGGGTGGGTAGAATAAAAAGGTTTATAAACTCTAGGAGAAAGGAGTGACATGGATATTTAGCAGACTGCCTGTAGCAACTTGCATACATGTGACAGTCATAGCATTCTGGACTTAATAGGAAGCATTAAAATAGGGTCTTGAGTTCTTCCATCTGCTCAGATGTGCTCTGGAGTAAAGAATTCCAGCCCTCAAATAGGTTAAACAAATGTGTTAATGTACCATGGAGCCAAGTCATTACCTGTGGTCTCTAATCAGGATTTGGCCCAAATAAACATTTTTTGATTAAAAGAAAAATCTACCCAACAGTCATTGAGGCAAGCTGTAAGAAAGATGATTGAGTGGTAGGGAGGGGACCTTGTCCTCTATGTATCATTCCCTAGGCTCAAGTGAAGTCTGAAGCTAGTCATGAATTCCACCAATCAGAGAGAAGAGAGGAGTGGAGGGAAGGATCATTGTTTCTTTGTCTGGATTTCTAGCTGAATTGGATTCAGGAAATGGATCAAGACTCAGAACTGTATCCTTGGGTCACAAAGATTTAAGAATATAAAAGAAGAATAGCTGAAGAGATCAGAAAATCTAACCCAAGGCTACCACATGTGGTTATTTTTGCTTAAGCATAATTTTCAAATTGCTTGTGATTTTCAGTTTGCATCCCCAGAATTGGGATATTGAATTCAAGATGTCTTAATAACTGAAATGTGTTAAGTAAAATAAATCTGTTTAGTTAATTCAGAGTTAGTTAAATTCAATATTCAGGATTTAATCTATCTAAAGTGCACAACTGATTTTTCAACCACAGTATATAACAGAGTGGATATTATGCTGTTGAGAGGTTCGTAGCCCCAGACTGGGGTTGAGAAGAGGAAAGTTATGCTATTTTGCTATTTCCTCACAGAGATGAGCTTCATTTAATGAGTCCCTAAAACTGGGGATAGTTCCGGGGACATGTTTCTGCTAGGGACATAGAGAACGAAACCAAGGGTGGGAAATCAGGGACACGTAGTAGTCATCACTATTGGCAAAGCCAAGGATTTCAAGGATAAAAGTTGACTGAGCCTGGCATGAATAGACAATGATGTATGAAGAAATGCAGCAAGGAAAAAACATGGTCATGACTTTGAAAGTACCAGACATAGAAAAATCATCAAAAGTAAGAGGAAAAATGAATGGATTTGTAAGAATTATTTTCAAGGAGGAGGGGAGTTGAAAGATAACCCTGAAAAGCCTGTTAGATTATAAAATTTCTTGGGAACAAGGATTGTTTCATTTTTATCTTTTTATCTCTGGAGAGTCTGTCTCAATGACTAGCCCATAGTAGGCACTTAATAAATGCTTATTCCATAAAAAAGTGATTTAAGTTCTTATCAGTTCAATAATTCAATTCAATAGATATTTATTGAAATACTAAGTGTCATGAGGATGCAAATATTTAATTAAGCAAACATTTGTTAAACTGCTAGTGTGCAAAGTGATGTGCTAAGCACTGGGAAAATAAAATTTGGCTCTCTCATGGAGCTTATGGTCTCATGCAGGGGTTATTAACTTCTTGGTGTCATGGATCCCTTCAACTGTCTGATGAAATCCAAAGACTGTCAGAATAATGTTTTTGCAAAAAAAAAATTAATAAAGGAAATGCTAAATTTCAGTTAAAGATCAATGAAAACAAAGATATAATTTCTTTCTCCTTCCAAGCCCATTTTCCACTGAAATCTATCCATAGACCCCTGAGGTAGACCTTGGACCTGAGATTAAGAATTCCTGGTTTAGTGGATAGGATTACAGTCTACTAGGGGTGGGTGGGTTATGACTAAAATATGGTCCCATATTTTAGCCTTCAGCTACTTATAGTCTACTCTAGGGAAATATATATATATATATATATATATATATATATATATATATGTGTGTGTGTGTGTGTGTGTGTGTGTGTGTGTGTGTATACATATACATATATATATATGTGTGTGTGTGTGTGTATATATATATATATATATATATATATATATATATACATATACATATATATGTGTGTGTGTATATATATATGCATTACTATAACTCAAAACCAAAGGTGGAAACTCATGAGAATGAAAACAAGATACTATGAGTTCAATGGAAGAAGGAGTCATTTTGGGTAGGGGGAATTGGGGAAGAAAAAGGAGTATTTAGGCAGGACCCTAAAGGATGGTGGAGATTTCATTTGTCAGAAATATGGTAGGAAGGACTATCCAGGCACAAGAATCACAGATATTAGAATTATAAAAGGACTAATTTGAAGTACATGATCTCTGATGTGTCTTTCAGCTCTAAAATTTTTGGATTCCGTATTTAAAACTTTGCATGAGCAAAGGCATGGAGGGGTAAAAGTCCATAGCATCTTTCAGAAACAAGTGAATAGATCGATATAAGTAGAGGACAGGGTATGGGAAGGAGAGAAATATGAAACCGGACTGGAAGTAGTTTGTGAAGGGTGTTGAATGCCAGGCAAAGGAACTTGGATTTTAATCATTAAACATTAGGGAGTTTATGAAGATTTTTGGCCAGGGGAATGACATGATCAGAGTTGTGCATTCAGAAGCTTAATCTGGCAAAGGTATGTAGGTAGGGTGGATTGCTGCAAAGGGGATGAGAGAAACTGGAACAAAGGAGACAGGTTAGGAGGTTTTGGCAATGAAAGTCTGAAATAAGGTGATGTCAGAGGGCATAGAGAAGGGCCAATAGATGAGAAAGATACTGTGGAACTAAAATAGATAGGATTGATGACATTGTGATTCTCTAGTGAGGAAGAAGTCAAAGATAAAGCCGAAGTTTCAAAATCATTAATGGAGATTTAAGATCAAACGGAGGGGCAAGTTTGGAGGAGAATATGAAGCTTGTTTGGTTTTTCTTTTTGCATATATTGAGTTTTAAATATAATTAGAAAATTTAGGTGATGTCTAAATGGTACAAGGAAGTACATATATAGAACTTAGAAGAGAGAGCAGGTGTGAGATATAGACTTATAAGGTATCTGGAAAAAGGTGACAGTTGAAACCAGGAAGATTGCTGAGATTGCTCAAGAATAGATAATAAAAGAGAGGAGAAGAAGGCCCAAGATTAAGCCTCATCAATTTATCTAGATTGTAGTGAAATTCAATACAACCCAAATTAGTTAATTCAAATTTGTTCCTTTTGAAATTTGTACTTCAGAATAATGACATTTTAAATACGTATTATTTTCTCATTTTAAATATTTGTGCTCTCATTGTATCAAAACAGATAGCATTTATATAGTGCTTATAAAGGTTTACAAAATACTGTACATATGAACTCACCTTGAACATCTACTGGTTGCCATAAGAAAGTCACTTAACTCCCATCAGCTTCAATTTCCTAATCTGTAAAACAGTGACAATAATAATAATAATAATAATAATAATAATAATAACAGCAACAACACCTATAGAACTTACCTTGCAAGATGGTTGTGAGCCTTCAATCAGATAACATAAACCAAGTATTTCTCAAACTTTAGCTGCTATAAAAGATATTCATTATTATTCATGAAATGGTTTTTAAAATGAAATTCTGAAGTTTTAAAGCTAGGAAATACTGCAGAGATCATCTGGCCCAACCTTCACATTTTACTACTCTATCATTTATGATTCCATGGTATCCTGAGGACCCAGTGAAAATGGCGAGTTCAGAGAATGACTTATTAATTTGGCTAATAAGTATACAGAGAGGCAGCATAGGGTAACAAATGGCTAGAATTGGAAGGGAGCTTTAGAAATCAACTAGCTTAACCCTTTTCTCTTAGAGATAAGACAATTGAGGGCTCAGACAGGGACTTTGACCTGCCTATGGTCAAGAAGTTAGTGAATGGTAGAGTGGACACTTTAACCCAATTTTCCTGACTGACTCCAATTCTCTTTCTACTACACTACACTTCTCTGACTGGAGGTAGAAGGGTGCACATGTGAAAGCATGGCCAAGGCTTCCTTTGCATTCCCTTGGAATACTGTCTCAATTTGACTGAACAGAAAGGGTTGAGAAAAGTCTTCATGTTGTCTATGGATCCTGTATCCCTTCCTTCCCTTGCCCCCCCCCCCATTCAGTTAACCTTTCTCTTTATGTTAGTAACTTACCTACTCCTCATGAATTTGTGGGTAGATTTCAGGGGGTTGGTAGTAAGTTGGTGATGGATAGATAGATAAAAAATCTTTATTTCAATATCATTGGATTCCTTTGTAATCCTATGCATTTTATTTTATGCATTCAAAAACATTATTCTGAGAAGGGGTCCATAAGCTTCACAAGACTGCCAGAGGGGTCCATGACACACAAAAAGGCTCAGAACTTGGGCTCTAGAAAGACTGTTTTTAGGGCCAAAGAACATGCATTCCTTTATGGTCAACTGTTCTTTATGTTATTCCTATGAATCTGACATATTTGTATTATATATCTTTATTAGTAGAGAGCATTTCTATGTTTCATATAATCTTGTTTGATCTTATATACCCTATTCTGATTAAAAGTAACTATGTTTGGCACATTTTTCTTTATAAATATCTATCTAACTGTCTATCTATCTATCTATCTATCTATCTATCTATCTATCTATCTATGTCTGTCTGTCTGTCTGTCTGTATTAAAGAAAGGAACAAAACAGATTTTCATTTGCAAAGTACCTGATATTCAAAATATGGTTTTTAGCTTCTGTTTTACATCTTAAGTTGCCACATGGTGAATGTGCCATGGGAAATCATCTCCTTCCTATTCAAAGACTGATGAGAATAGATTTAATCCTTAATGGTACCTCAACATCCAGGGGTAAAAAAAATTAATTCCAATGTAATTATCTACTCCCTGCAACTTTCATAGACTCCTTTACTCAGAGAATGTTAGAGGTAGGAGTCTTCAGTGAACTTTTAGAAGAAATTGTAGAAGTGTATAAAGGTCCAATATGTTTCCTTTATTACATTCAGAACTGGAATATCACAAAATATGCACATGATCCTCTCTTGGCTGAGTTCTTCATTTGGAAGATAAGTGACAATATAATATTTTACAGGTAAACTCACTGAGACAATTCTTTGTACCCTGGAAATTTAGGCATTAAGTTAGATAAGAGATTCTTACCTTGGGATTTACCTTCTTCCAGGGGGTCTATGGATATATTTCAGGGGATTTATGAACTTGGAAGGGAAAATATTTCTTTATTTCAATATAATTAGTTTTCTTGTAATCCCATGTATTTAATTTTATATATTAAAAACATGATTCTGAAAAGGAGTTCATATGTTCCCCCAGATTGCCAAAGGAGTCTGAAATGGGTCCAAAAAAAGGGTTAAAAACCCCTGAATTAGATGCTACTGAGTTCATTCATAGAAATAAAAGGATTTTCAGGGAGCTACTGCCCTGATAAAATAGATAAGGAAACTGAGGCTAAGACAGGTTGAATTCTGCTTCTAAAGTTGCTGGGGACCCTGACAACATTCCACAAAACAGTGTCCCTTTTACCTATGTGGAAGGGAGCCCTGGTATGTGTGTCAGGCAACCTAACTCAGACAAATCCCTCGGCCACCTTCTGCTTAGGCAGGCAATAACATCATCTTTTCCTGACCAGTGAAACCCACTGGCAGTCTTCCTTTTTAAAAGGCTGCCATGGGACAATCCCATGGTTCTGGCAGCAGCTCAGATGTCCTCTGGTGACCAGTGTCTCTGGTGCCCAAGGTACCAAGAAGGAAGCTGAGGTTAGGGTATTATATATCCTGTAGTCTGCTAAGTATATACTCTCTAAATGTAAAAAAGAAAAATCATCCACGTATGTAGAAAAGTGAATGAGAAACAACAAGAATTCAAAACATTAAATACATTTACTAACAGGGAAAAAAAACCCTTATTTCATATCTCTAAACAGAGACACAAAAAATGTTATTTTTCATACAACCTTATAGTTGTGAGAGAAGGATTTGGAGGGTCATTGTTTCATCACTTATCTTCAGTGAGGGCCCCACCTCAACCATCCTTGACAAATGAGATTCTGGACTCTTCTTAAAGGTCTCCTGACAGGGGGATGGCCATCCATGAGTTTCTTTAGTATCAACCCCTTTCCAATTTTTATATCAACTCCCTTATTCCTCATGTTAGCTCATGATTACTCTTGTGTTTCAGTTTCAGGCAAGGTGGAGAATAGGTGATCTCCAACATGCTTCTAATAACACATGATGAACATAAAGACCTTCATTGAATTTTCTGTCATGCTTCTCTTCTTCAGGCCATGTATTTTTCCGTGTTTGAATCATTCTTTAGTCTCCTAACTCTCTGAGTTTGCCACATCCATTAAGCTGTGGAATCTAACACTGAACCAAATATTGAAGCAAAAATCTGAGTTTTCTCTATGTTACCAGGTTTTAAGGAGACCAAGGCCCCACTGGCAAATAGACAGTTTCTAGAGATATCATGTATTGACTTCTGGGAACTTTATGCTAGGGACAGAGTAAATTTCTCTTGCTTTGAGGGGAAGGATCATGAGAACTAATGGAGGACAGGTTCAATCCAGGGAATTTGGTTTCAGTTTTTGCTAGGAAGAGAATGAGTACAATGGAAGCAATGCAAAGGCAGATTTCAAAAAGGCAAAAAGATGGGGAGAGAGAAAGAGAGAGAGAGAGAGAGAGAGAGAGAGAGAGAGAGAGAGACAGACAGACAGACAGACAGAGAGATACATTCCAGCAGGAGTTTGGCAGTTTGGCAACCTCCTCCTTTGCTATCTACTCCTAATCAATCCCCTGAGAAAGGGTGTGGCTGGAATGGACCAGGGACTGAGATCTCTAAGGGGATGGTGAGGCATTTAATTCTACCCTCCTCCCCACTTCAAATGGCAGGCACTTACTCTAAGCATTTTCTGTTTTTAACTTGTTAAAATCTTTGATTTTCACAATAACTTAAAACCTATCTCCACCTTGATGTGAACTTATGACCACTCATAACTCATGTGGATGTTCTTAATTTCGTGAGTTTGGCTCATGTCACTCAGGGGCTCCCACTGGTTCAGAGCCCATGCACCCTTGGCACAGCACCTCTACCTCCATGTTCATCTCCTCTTGGGCCCCTATGGATGGCTCAGGCAGATCTGAACCTATAGGCCTCATGCTTGTTGATCTGTCCCAGTCCCCCTTAAGGCTAATTCCTTTCCTCAAAGATTATCTCCATTTTATACTGTCTATATCTTGTTTGTACATAGTTGTTTACATATTGTCTCCTCTATTAGACTATGAGCTCCTTGAGAGCAGGGATTGTGTTTTTGCCTTACTTTTTATCTTATGCTTAGCACAGTGCCTAGCACCAGACATTTAATAAACGCCTATTGATTTGATTGACTTGACTCTTGCTATCTGTACTGCTCTTAATAAAGGCTTGGTGACCTGATTTGAAAGATAAGAGAACTGCAAAGGAAAGACCCTATAAAAAGCTTGTTCTTAGAGAGAGATACAGAGAGAGGAAGAAAGAGAGAGGCAGAGAACAACTCTCAGTTTCAATTGTTGGGGAGGGGGAAAATAGGAAGAATTCTCTCTGCACCTAACTGGGGCTTAAACTGTATGAAAGTGATTCTTCTGGGCTTTGATTAAAAAAATAATTTTTATAAACTACTCAATAGTTGAAGAGATTAAAACAGTGACCTAGGACCAACCATTTACTCAAGGCTATACACAAGTCATGAATAAACAAACTTTGATGGTGTAAGGAAACTTGGAAAAAGCAAGAGCTTTTCTCAGAGGCATGGAGTCTCAAGCAGGTTCACTCCTCTCAATTTTTTTTTTAATCTCTTGAAGCTGTTATGTCCCTGGTGAGGGGCATAGAGGAGGAATTGACTAAGGGAGAGTCATGCCCAGGCAGCTAAGGGAGAAGTTGAGAAAGAGTGAAAATGTCTACATTCCAAAGGTGGGAGCCATTGTGTGGAGTGGTCCTTCACCTATACGTCCATCTTTACCTGATAGCACCACCTACCGGTTACATGTACATTATAGAAGCAGCATCTTCTAAGTCAAAGTATCACCAAAGTAAACAGAGCAAGCTATAACTCATGTTCAGTTTATAATCTTCAGCAATCTTGTGAAGTTTTTTTAATTAAGAAAAAAAGTTAATAATTTTTCAGTTTTAATGTCTACAATATCTTTGCCTGGATTTTGTTTGGATATTTTCCTCTACTATTTTTTTTCCAGAATCATTTTACTAAATCTGGGATAGAGCTATATATTTTGATTTTTTAAAGAGATTTAAATACTTAAGATTTTAAAATCTTTTCAATTACCTCTAGCACAGCTATTTATATTATCTCCTTTACATACTCCTTCATTACTTCATTACATTATTTCCTTTAGGTGTTAAAGCTATC